AATTTGGGAGGGGGGAGTTCCATGACAAAATCCTTACCCCGGTTTGGTTTAAATCTTCAATCGTCAGAATGGTAAGCATATTGAGAAGCGAACAAGGGTGATGAGAAGGAATTGATCTAAAAATGATAACAAGATCATCATAGCCCTCAAATGTATGCCCTTCGTAGCTTCATTGAAGAAGGTTTTGAAACCAGTACAGAAGAAGTTTTGCAAGTGAACGAAATATCACTCTAGAAAAAGGACGAAATATCATTCTAGATCGTCTCCTATAGAATAGGGATCCCCCTCATGGAGGACAAACGTGACGCAGCCGCCTTCCCGAGATATTAACTTGACTTTACCAATCTTCAGGTCTGAAAGTCGACTGACCTCGACGTGAGTCCATTCGAATGGCCTCGAAGTGACTCCATTGAGCTTATCCCATGTTGCCTTACATACCAAGAACTGCCTCTAATAACACCATACAATCATAGCCAGCCCTTGTGATGAGCGAATGCTCGGGACTACCGCCGTCGTCTCTTCAAATGCTTCTCTTCTCACCTGGAAAGCAGTGTTCATATTCAATTTGGATATCTTGAATTATATTCAAATGTTCTATCGAATTTTATGTGTCCTCTTTTTCTTTATACGCGATATCTTTTGCACTGCCTTGAAGCTTTATGTTTTGGGTGAGTAAATCCCAGTACCTGGGGTTCACTGAGATTGAGGCTACTAAACTGGCCTGCATCATTGAATAGTCTGCATGCACCATGAAGATCAGGCAGATTTCCATATTTTCACATCTCCCAAGGAATCGCAGGTCAATAGGACATCCGGGTATGACGTTTATTTAAATGTTATAGTCAAGACTTCTTCCCTACACTGACTATCGTGGGTTATAATGCACTATTGGAGCGATCAAGGAAGACTGCTTACATCGACGACAATACACATCAGCAGTTCCTACAAAGCTCGCTCTACTCGAGCGGACACATTTGCCATCACCTCTCTCTGTGTCAACTCTTGCAAAATCATCACCCTTTAACATGCCCAATCCCCCTATGCTTTCCTCCCTAGTTGTCTAGAAAAGCAGACATCCCTACTACACTTCTAGGAGACGGTCATACAAATGTTATGGTAGGATCAGCTCAAAAGGGACTGGAATCTTCGATGAAATCTATCTTGAAAAGACAGCTGCCCTTCTGAGATTAGAGGGGTTCTGTAATTGTAATGGCTAACGATGCTTGTGACTTTCCTGGGACATGGTCTGTGCTAGCATTTTGAATAAGGTCTGTCTCAACAGAAAGTCCCAGATACTGTCCCACGACCTGAATTAACGTGCGAGTGGGTCTTCTTCCCTATTGCAGCTCCTCTTATTGTTAGTCACGTATGCTACTTGACGGGCATGTTGAGACTGAGACAGTTCCATCTTGGTGACCCATATCAAGCACCTGCCCTTCTTATTTACAGATAAAAAATCAAAATCAAAATTCTTCATTTTTGTATTTATTGGAATCGACAAACTCTAAGGCAAAGTGCAGGCTGCAGCTCGTTCATCAGAGCGGCTCAAAGATTTATTGTCGATGTCAGGCTCCCTTTATGAGGTTTAAAAACCCAGAGCACACTGATGTGAGCTTTTAAAGATTTAGGAATTTTGTGTTGAGAAGATCTACTCATAATAGCATCTCCATCGATTGTAAAAGATGTTATCTGTAAATGAAATACGAAAGAGCAGAAGCACCTTTATGGCCCAGAATCTTGCCACTAATGGTCCCTTTTCGAATTGAGATTCTTTCATGCGAAACAATCAGGCTAAGCTGCGCTACTGACCCAGACATGTCGTGTAAGTTTTGTGAACTGCGCGATTGACCGCGTTTTCTCCGTCGAAGTGGCCCAGTTTTTTCAGTGCTTTGACCTCAATTTCGCATTGTGTAAGCGGGTGGCGGCGGGTGCGAGCCAGTGGTCGGCGGTTTTTTTTCGGTGCTGGGCAAGACCGCCGCCACCATCGGACGCCGTAACCACCACCTCGGCCGCCGGCCACGAACGATTAGTCATTTTTAGGTGGAGTGCTGTTTCAAGCGACTAGGGCATGTGTCAGTGGAGGTGGACTTGGTTGAAGTCCTGCAGTGCAGTTCCCTATTCCAGAAGAATTCCAATGAGTCAGTGGCTAGCTTATATCGACCAACGGTCGGCCATATTTTTGTCGCCGTTCATGTCGTTGTCTGACCGACGGCCGGCTGGGACGGCCTCCTCGGCGAAGTGTCGAATCGATCCTTCAGTCGGTGTTCGTTTTTTCCACACCTCTCTCTTGCGCCGGCGCCGGCGTCCCGCCCTAGCCAGTCCAGGCATCCGGCCGATCGCCGTTCTTCCCCAGCCTAGTCCCCGTTCGACCGTGAAAAAACTCGCCCGGCTGCACAGCGTTCAGTTCGGATCGCTCTATTATTAACTGAAGAACCTCACGTTCATTCGCCGTTCGCCTGGTTATTTTCTTTTCCATCGCCTAATCTTAGTTGAAGCTTCAAAAGAGCCAGTTCTCCTCAGAAAGTCGACCTGTCCTACCTCTGCTACATTCTGGAATCAAAAAGCCATTGTTTACTCTTGTAATCGATTCTTTTCATACGGGCTGTCTGAAAAGCCTCGCATGGACATGGTAAGCCCATCGATGGAGTGGAACTTCATTGATTGCTTCAAAGCATCACCTTCTTTGTAACAATGATACCGTGGCAAGGAATGGACTGCTCTTGGGCTTATCACATTGTTATCGGTTTACGCCCTTCGTTGGGCGCCTTAGTCTTTTATTGAACATTTTTCTACCAAGAAGAGCGGGGTTGAAAGACAAAAGTACTCCTCAGCAGGGTATTACTCTATCTAAAAATGAGCTATGAAGTATATTTATCCCTGGAAGATCGGCTATTCCGTGAAATTTTGTAGATTTTCCATGTGAACGTGCTCCTTGCAGCTGAGCCCTGGAATGGGCCCGTCATACTTAATGAATTTCGACAATGACGCCATCGTCTTATTCATCGAGCACATGTCAGGGCTTCGTCACATGTGTTCTTAGCATAAGAGTTGAGAATCACAAGCGTTACTTCGATTCAATTTTCCACTTTGATAAGCAATTCTAAATATTCCTCTCTGAAGAGATTGGGAACTGTTCAACAAAAGCAAAGTGCTCGACCATCATTAGTGGGCTTGGGATGCGCCATGTACTCGGATTATGACTAGAATCGCAAAGGCTTTTCCATACCCGGTTCGTTGCTTGCCAAGTGAGCCGGTAGTCAAGGCACTTTTTAAATGGGAGCAGATAAGAACAGCCAAAATGACAGGCACTGGAAAGACTGAAGGCTTGGTTGACTAGGCGGCTCGCCAAAATATGCCTCTCATAGCGTTTGCATACGCAGAAATGATTGCCTGAGGGAGAAAAGATCCGAATGGGGGTGACTGTAAAGGAGATGTCGATGCTCTCGATGACTCCACATCCGCCACTTTTCCATTTCCTTTTTGAAAACCAATATTTGAATAGAGGCCCATGGTGTACCCCCACGCGCAACCTTGAGTTTGCGGAAGATGTACGCGAAGGTGCTGGTCTCGACGAGGTGTTCGGGTTGCTTTGAATTATCAGTATCACCACAAACGGTAAATGCTGCAACCCACTCCAATAAATTTTAAAGGTGATAAGCAAAGAAATAAAAATCGCTCGGTCGGTCCCCAACTCGGTTCTTTGGACTTCACCATCAACAAGGCGTAAAGAGATCGGTTGATTCGAGGTAGCGGTTGGTCTTCTTTGCAGTGGTAACCTACGCTTTTGTTTTTGAATTGAACGTTGTCTTCTGTTTACCAGTGTGGTTGCCTGTGCCTCCCCGAGCATCGTTGGGGCATAAAAATGGTTCACCTTCTTTCTCCAGGCATCCAGGCAGCTTATTCATTTTCTGTACCGCTTTTAGCGACTTCTTCCATTCTGATGGCCAACATTACCGTCGTAGTGGTTTTAGCCTTCTGTCCCAGAACAGTACTGCTTTGGCTAGGTAATGTATACCCCTGAATGAAAAACTTGCCCTACAACGCCAGCATCTCTAATCTCCCTTTGTATAGACGTAGGAATGGGTTTTCCAACCGGTTGTGACTATGAAGAAATCTGATGCAAAAGCTTAGATGAAGAAATAGCATTCGCAGAACCCGTAGACTAATTCTATTCCTAGGAGAGCGAGAAAAAACCTTTGCAGTTTTTTGTCGAAATTCCATTGCCTGCAACTATGCTGAGATCTTGGAGCGTCCTGCACTCAATCCGGTTTTTCTCGCCGATTGTCTCTAGATCAGTTTTTGAAAGGCCGTTTACCTAGAAAGTTCTCCTTGAAGAATGACTTTGCACTTCTCATTTCTTATTTTCTTTTTTTTTCGAAAACTCCTGCACTATAGGATTCTGGGAAATGTTCATAAAATCCCGTTCGACTGCGACTGTTTCCCATGGCCAAAAACTCGTTTGCTATCTGAGCCGTTGTTCATCTCCGTATCGTATGGTGCTGGCCCCCGGGCTCCTCAACGACATTAACGTACTGCCCATCTCCTTCTGCAAAAGTCGCAGCGCCCAGCGGCTGCTGGCGCGGCGGCTGGCGGTGCCTGGTTGTGCGTGTGCGGTGCCGCCACGCCCCGCCCTCACGACGGCCCCCGCGCTTCGACGCTGCGCTGCAGTCGGCCACATCCGCTCAGCCTCCCTGACCGCCTACCGTATCACGGCCGGGACGAGTGGTCGCCGATCGTCCGTGCTCGTCTGTGTTGCCCCACAGGGAACTGCTCATCCTTTGCATCTCCAAGGATAAGTATCGCGACGTTTACTTGTTGTTCTGATCGAGTTAGTAGCAGTCGTCGGTACAGGCGATCACTTGACTTTGTACGCAAAGTGCAATGCCGATAAGTAGCTTGTCTCTTTCCTCACAGGACCTTACGTATTGACTCGATAGCATTTTCCTCCATGTAAATTTTATTTTGCTGTATCAACGGCTATTCGTGCAAGTTTGAACACCGTGGATTTTCTTTCCTCGATCACTATCCTGCTCCCTGAGACCTCAATTGCGACTGCTAAAAGATCGCGAATTGTGACCTCAGGATACAGGCGCGGTGACAAACGGGTGTTTCGTAGAAGTAGTCGCTGGAAGGTCAGTTTTTCCAAAAAATGCTGTTGTATCGATTTTTCCATGCAAAAAACTTATTGCTTCTGTTTACAGAAGCCGAGAACGTCAGGGTACCGCAAGCGCCCAGCAACGATGGCGACGTCGACAACGTGAGTTTGCAAATTTCAAAATCCCAATTTCTATAAAATCTACAGATTTGATTGGTTCCCGAGGGCCAATTTTGTACCCGAAATTTTAAATTTTAGCCAGTAGTTTACTAGTAAAGGCGTAGTAATGGCTGGATCAATTGTTTCGTCATCTCGGGATGCGCTCAAGGTTATTTGAAGCTGTTTTTATGTTGAATAATTATGTGGCTTAGGAGAAGAGGCTCTGTCTGTGGGAAAGTCCCAGTTTGGTTGAACTTCTCGTCGAATTCTATCTTTCGACAAAAATGATTTTTTACGTGAATTTGAAGTAGTTACCATTTTCCAGCTTTATTTCGCATTTTCCTAACATTTACTCAATTGTTGATCTTTGCCCACTGAAAAATTTATTTGTGTCGTCTTTTAAATATGTACATGGTTGGAATAGACCGTTCCGAAAATTGAGCGCCTTTTTTAGACATTAGTATGGTCACTTCATGAAAATCAGGTAAACGTCGACGGATACGGTAGTCTGGTTACCGTCTCCCTCGTACGAAGGACGAATTTTGGATTTATTAATCGATGAGGTTCAAATCGTATGCTATTTTTAAAGGACATTACACACCAACGTGCAACCTCGAACGTTGGCCACGGCTTTTTTTCTTTTTGCTTTTCAAAGGTGCACCGTCGTAGCGAAAAAGATCGGCTGGATGAGAGGAGGTTATTTTTTCTCTGAGGATCGATAAGATCTTAAAAGCGACGATGGCGGTCTCTTGGCTGTAAGAATTTCCCGAGAAAAAATGTGTTTCCAAGGTGAAAATGAGAAGTATAGTCGTTCCAAATGTATTATTGAAGAACTAGCCTGGGCGAACCCAGCGTATCCAGAATAATTCCAATTAAATGTCAAAGCTGGAATCATTTAATCTTCTGCCCAGGTATAAAAACATCTTCACTTCCTTCTCTTCAATCAATCAATAACTATGCATGTACTCGCAGCCCCGCAGCGCGTCCGCTCGCGTCTTTGTTGCGCATTATATCATCACAATAGATTGCGCCATGAAATTTCAAAACACGGCCTGAACTCGTCACGGCTGCCAGTAGTGCCCGATTTCGGCTAGTCGGGGTTACTAATCGATTTTTTTCTGCTGACTCATTCGATGTCAGGGGCTATTTTCTGCCTTTTATGTACATGAGGGCATTATTGAAAGCCTTACTTGGTAAGAGACGATTTTTGAAGATCCCGACCCTGATTAAGGCATTGTAATTAATCGGTCATGGTCGGTAATTGTAATTATCTTTCGATGTCTTTGCATTCCCAGTAATCTCACAGCACAGCCCTATTTGGTTTGGAACTATTTCGAGCCACCGTTCATACTTTATCAGTGCTGACAAGCAGTCCCTTTGTGTTCACCTATTGTCAAATAGAAATGCCTCGACTCAGCTTCTTGGCGACTTCTGCTTGTGACTGGTTGGTCGCCTTCGCTAAGTGATTTGTCAATGACTAAAACTTGCTTGCGGCGTTCAATAAAAGAAGTGGCCAAGCTTTGCTACCGGAGTCGTTTTGTCGATAACGTTGGTGCCATCCAGTGCTATTGATCCGACGGCTGCGTCATACTGTGGTTGAGCGGGAGCGGCTGCTGTGTCTCGTTGCTGACTCAGCCAGCTACGCGGCCGGGCGCATCTACTGACCAACACCCCCACGTCGACTCGCTCGCACTGCTCACCTCCCATCCGTCCATCTCTCGCATTCACCTTGAAATACCATTATGCGATTACGGTAACAGTCGNGTCTACGTAAAAGTGAACGGGGACGCCGTACAGAGCTGTTCAGTCGGTAGCTGACTTCGCTAGAAGATTTTCTTAGATCTGATCATCTCAAGGTGATATCGCTATATGCCCAGTCGTGTGGGGAAAAGTTTCGTTAAATTCTTGTTCCCGAGATTTCACTATTAGTTCAGAGGGCGAATTTATGGTGTGGTCAGCTCTTATATCACTGGCCAAGATTGGAAGAAGAGAAATGAGTACTACTGTCCTTCCACTTCTGATCTACATCTATCCTTCGACGTCTTAGGTCTTCAGGATAGCGGGAAGCGAAGAAACATCCGAGGTGGAAGGAATCCAGCTATTGATGCTCACTGGTTCAGTGGTATACGCCCCCGACTCCAAAAAAATGCCGATTTGAAATCATCGGCGAGCACGAATGTGAATTCCTAGAAGATAGAGAGGCCCAACGTTCAGCACAATAGCATTATTCAAGGTGTACTTGTTGTACGGATTAACGGATAGACCTTTTAAGACCCAACAGACTTTCTAATCGATTCTAGCATTGTTAGCCCCAAGCATTATTTATTTACGCGGTATCTTCAGTGAAATGGATGTGGGTATTGGGGTTTGCTACATTTATTCACCCTTCTTTTAGAACGACAATTTCGAGAGATGGTGAACCTTGGGGATGGATTCTTTCAGCTGATATTCCCCTTATTGAAGGGCAAATCGATCAAGTAGTTATTTCAGTATCGGTTGATGTTTTGAAAAAATTTTGAAATGCTCCAGTAAAGAAGCTCCGATGAAAGTAGCCTCCCTCGTTTGGGAACTCGCCTCTCGTTCTTGTAATGTAACAAGTGCTGGTCAATAATTATGATCCCAAATCACTGTAGCTGAACAGCACATTACGGGTGACAACAGAAAGCAGTACAGGTACCGCTCAAGCGCTGAACCGACTGATACTTCAAAGCGAGGAAATTCTGCAGTGGTAATTATGTGGAGCTGCTTGGGACTCTGCAATTGACTTTAGTTCGAGTCTTTGGAGTACTTTCTAAACGTCTTCAGGTTGTAACTAGAATTTGTAGGCCAGCTAAGCTTCAGCTTGAGGTGTGTGCTGAACTGATTTCCACCTAGAAACTGACCCAGTAGGGATGAGAGCTGAGGTGCACTAATTCATTCAGGTGGCTGACATTTCGCCTATGTGAAAGTCTCACAGATTGGCAAGTTGTGGGCAAAACCTCGACGTCGGACGGTACTGGGACCCGTACCCGTGGCTTTCCCGTTACCGTTACTCTTCCCCCTTACATACCGAGGCCCAACTTGAAGATATCCCATCAAAATATACACTCAAGGAATCCGATATGTTAAGAAGCGTTACGGAATCGTTCACTGCAATGGTTATTCCCGGCAAACAGTATAAATGGTAGGTGACGGAACCCGAAAAATCCCACGCTTGAAAAGTATGCGTCCTACGCAAACCACTACCTGTTTACTTATCTTACTGATAAAAGGGTTGGTCACTGTCAGCATCAAACCATACTACGAGCATAATTTTTTCGAAATGCCGCTCCTTATGGGGAGGCTCCTCTTACTGGGGGATTTCAAGAACCTGCACTGATTTTGTATCCGAATCAGAACGGAGGCGAATGTTCTATGAGCTCGGGGAGCAACCGTATATCAGTCACCCGTGAACGTATTTCAAAATTCTCATGAGGAAATGCTATCAGAAAGAGCAGTATGGCTCTGCTTCTCGTGCGATAAGAACAATATGGTAATGATGGAATGAGGCGCCCCGAATTCCACTCTACCTCATCTCAGGGAATCGATCACACATCGCTACGTCTGGAATCGATGGAATCGTGCGGCAAAGTGCTTCTGTACTTAAGCCGTCGGCTAAATTGGGGAACAATCGTTCAGCAGCCGATGGAAAAAAATGGATTTCCCATTTTGATATTTGAACCTGAAAGTTTCTGATCCCTGTTCAGGGTAACGAAGAGCATGTGCGGGTTATAGAATAGAAATTGCTGCAAGTCTATTCAGAATCATGCCTCTTTTATCAGTAAAAGCATGGGGGAGGAAAATTGAAAGCGAAATCATTGTTGCATACTTATGAGCATACTTTTCACTTATTGAAATAAAGATTTCGTTATATCGTGGAATCGAAATCATGAATTCAAATCCTGGAAGAATCGCAAGTTCCAGTGATATCCACTTGAAGACACGGTTCTTGATAATTTTGGATTATCTAGTTTTAGACAGGTAATGAAAGTTATAGTGCAAAAGTGGCGAAGAAAACTGCCTATCTAGAGAAAAAAGGGGCTTTAAAGAAGAAGTAGAGTCAGGAGTCGGACGAGAATGTTACGAAAAAGCGGTTGTTCGGACGAGCTGTTCGAACGTGCGCACCATTGCATACAGCTGGCTGCTATAAGGGCTGCCTGCGTGCAATGTGTGGGTCGCGGTGCGAATGGTGCAACCTCTACAGCTCTCACAACTCTTGACAACTCGTCCACCTTGGGTGTATACGTCAGTGGAGCCGGTTTTAGGGGGCCCTTACTTCACCCTATCTTGATTGTTTTTCGACCCGACAGCGTCCCTTAAGCTATCCAGAGGGTCGCATGTACATCCTCACAAAAAAATTTTTAAATCCATTTCAACGTGAGCAGTGGCTTCAAGATTCCCGAATTTGCACTAAAAACTTTGGCCTCTGCGCCATATTTTCATTAAATTCCATATGAAAGTAAGTAGATAGAAAGTCATAGCAAACGAAACCAATTGGTTTGAACAAAGATAGAGGAGTCGTTTACAATAGAAGGATAGCGGAGCCTCGAAGATCTCCTTGAAATTTGAAACTGTCATCTTAAAACGTCGACCAGTAAAAATTAGGAAATTTCGTTTTTAAAGCTGTCAATTATGAGCATTAGCAGCACAGCAAATATATCATTCGTATGTGGTGAGCCCAAATAAACTTTTCTCAGGGTTTATCCACGAACATTTGATGTTCTCGTCCACAATCGATCATGGGATGCACCATGAATACTTCATTCATTCAGGGCTATGTTGCATTTTGAAATGTTGTTTAGTCTGCGCAATGAACAACGAGCTCAGCTGGATTTGGCCAGATCAGGGTTTTGATTTCCTCCTGTGATACCGACTCCTATCATTTGTCGTGAAGGAATGAAAGTTTCGACTAATTATAGTTCATTCCACTGAGAATGAATGTCTGCCTGTTATTTACTGTTATCATAGAATCGATACACTTTGTCTACAGGAAAAAGTACCTTAACAATCTTACCTCATAC